AATTACGAAATGCAATACTTGATACTTATTGACTACACGTTGCACTCACGCCATCTAATGAGTGAGCTTTTTGTGGGTAAATTTACCGGTAATTATTACCTGGTAAATTTACCTGAAGGTAATCTTTAAAAAAAGGTAATTTATAATTACGCTAACTGGATGTTGTGTTGAGTTGTGTTGAGTGCAGTGTTTGTTGTGTTTGATTACAGCATACATGAAGTGAAGCATAGGTTGAGTGCAAACGTTGGCAAACATTCATTCATTGCGTCCAACGCTATGCCTATTGTCTGGCATTTAATGAACATTTAAAACCCAATCATTTGTTTATCATTTCATTTATTATATTTCAATCACTCATTCATTCATCGATACAATCAATCATTTGTCACAATCACACCATTGGATCCGATGGTCATATCCATGGACACAATGACACTGTGATTGTCTCAAACCATTTGGTGTCCATTTGATCGCTGTTTTTGTGGACCAAATACAACACTCAACTCATTCATCCATTTGTGTCCTCTTTTTTCTCTCGCAATCATCGGTTTTGTCGATCAAAATGACATCAATTTATCATTAAATCCAATGTTATAATCATTTCATTGAAAATTAATAATAATAATAAACTATTATTTATTTATTTATATAAATAACTGTCAAATATGAGTGAATTTCAATGGTATGAATGGCTTTTGTACTAATTGTCAATTTCATGTAATCATATCATTGTTTGTCATTTATTTGGTCCGTAATTATCATTTGATTTGTCACTTAATTATAGGATGTATTCTTTGGTCGATTCCTCGAGAGTCTCAACATTTTTGATATCAATGCTACTCATAGTCTACGGCAGCTTTCGGTACGACTCGCGCGAAGACATCACCACTTAATTGTTAGACCAATTGATTGCCATTTGTCTCAATCTATTCCCACAGATCTCTGAATATGGAAGAAGAGGCCAAACAAAAGGAAAAGGATTCTGGCGTTCAAAGCAGTGAAAACAGTTTAGTGTTACTCTTATTGACATTATTTCTTAAGCAAACATTGTTTTTATGATTAGTTTCTTTCAAACTAAACNATTGATTGCCATTTGTCTCAATCTATTCCCACAGATCTCTGAATATGGAAGAAGAGGCCAAACAAAAGGAAAAGGATTCTGGCGTTCAAAGCAGTGAAAACAGTTTAGTGTTACTCTTATTGACATTATTTCTTAAGCAAACATTGTTTTTATGATTAGTTTCTTTCAAACTAAACAAATCGTTGGACTTTTTTTGCCTATCAATCAGTGATTCATTTGATTTATATAATAATTGGAGTAAATATTAGTTATAATAAGATTTGTTGGGAATATATTTGTATTAGATTTGATTATCACTGAAGCGTTTCCCAAATATAACATCCATATCATTGACCTCTAGTTTATGTCATTTGCAAACAAACACTAAATGCATATTTGAATTGTTGTTTAGGTGTCCAGACGTTGGATACAATGCAGGCCTTATGTCTACCATTAGGCGCATCCATTTCACTGCTCATAATGTTCTTCTTCTTTGACTCGATGCAAATGCTGTTCGCCATCTGTACAGCCAGTAAGTGATCACTCGATCGCATCCATCATTCAATTGGACACATATTTAATACACATATCATACTTATCCCGCAGTCATAGCTGCCATCGCTCTGGCATTTCTGTTGCTTCCGATGTGTCAATACATTCTGAGGCCGTGTACTGACAAAAAGAGGTTAGTTTTGACATTACTTTGTGTCCAAATGAGTATTAATTGTTTTCTTTGAACTATATTTTTAAAGCAGATTATCATTTGGAATCTGCGGTCGTTTTACAGTCGCAGAGTTGGTCTCGTTCTCCCTTTCGGTGACAATAGTTTGCATTTGGATTCTTACGGGACATTGGCTTCTCATGGATGCCATGGGAATGGGTTTATGCGTAGCTTTCATAGCGTTTGTACGATTGCCAAGTCTTAAGGTCTCAACACTTCTACTGACGGGTCTACTTATATATGACGTCTTTTGGGTCTTCTTCTCATCGTATATCTTCAGCTCTAATGTTATGGTAAACACAATCCCAATACATATTGACTACAACTTTACATCAAATACTTTTTTAATTATTAATCAATGCTAAAGTAGTCTAAAGTCATAATGACTTTAATAGTGGAAAAATATGCAACAAAATTAAGTGTTTTGTCGGAATGTGAATCCTATTATATAAATCTTAATTGATTTACAAATATCCGTAATATTCTATAATATATTATATAATACTTTTATTTGGTTTTTACTAACATTTAAATCTAATGTATAAATTGTCGACACTTATAGAGTATATGAATATTATATCATACGATAATATATATCGCATTTTGGAGATAATATTTTAATTAATTTGTTTTAATTATTGCTGATATTTAGGATTATAATACAGTACTTGTAATGATTGACAAATTTTTATAATATTTGGTTTTATTGATTTAAATGATAACTGAAAGCGTGAATAACGAGCAAATGTTTGTCCGAATTCAGGTACGAGTGGCGACGAAGACGGCCGACAATCCGGTCGGAATCGTAGCCAAACGACTGCATTTAAACGGCGTTAGAGAACCGCCAAAGCTATCACTCCCCGGAAAATTGATATTTCCGTCGATGCAAAATGCGGGCCACTTCTCAATGTTGGGATTGGGAGATATCGTATGACTCGACACTACTTTACATTTTGCATAACATATTAATAACAATTATTGCATGTTTTTATACATTCAGGTTATGCCCGGATTATTGCTGTGTTTTGTACTCAGATATGATGCTTACAAAAGAGCACAATTAAATTCAGTAGAGGCTGGGGTTCCGCCGCCCAATCATTTGAATAAAATCACATATTTTCACTGTTCGCTCGTCGGATACTTTTTTGGTATATTTTATATTTCAAAACTCATTTATAAATTGCTAACAATTGTTGTGTTTGAACGACAGGTCTATTGACAGCAACGGTGTCGAGTGAGATATTCAAAGCGGCTCAGCCGGCGCTCCTCTATTTAGTTCCATTCACTTTACTTCCACTTTTGACAATGGCTTACATTAAAGTATTTACACATTTGTTGACATTTATTATGCAAACAAACGATTTAATTATTAATTGCAAAATGTGTTCAAAGGGTGATTTGCGGCGAATGTGGTCCGAGCCGTTCATACCAGCGAATCTTCCCAAACATCTGGAGGTATGATATTTAGTGACGACATTCCAGCGGATTATATGTGAAAATAATAAGACAACAACTCATTACAACTGAATCTCTCATAAAAATTGTATTATAAATCATTGTTTGAATTGTAAGTCAATCTGAAGACGAAATTAATCTATTATTTAATGAATTGATAAGTTTTGTGATGTGTTTTTCCCCGAAGAGAGACAGAAAGTGCACAAAAAACAGTCATCAAATTGATGTAAATATATATATAAATGTATTTTAATGCAAAAACCATAGAAATGAATACTCTTTTAAGAATTAGATTTTGAACCAAATATTTAATTATTTTATACGATTGAGAGACCGATCCGATACTTATTGTAATATAGATTTTTAAGCTTTTGTTTAATTTACAGATTAATTATTAGTTAATTTTGATGTAAGAAATATAATTACAATATATTATATATAAATATATATATATTATTATACAGTATATATATTATAGATTCTTTACAATAAGACAAATGGTGTACATATTATATACCCCTCTCTTATATACAATTAATTACTCAAATGTTGTATTTTTAAATTATAACGACTATTATTATTATGATTATTGAAAACAAATTGAAGTCACTTTTCTGTTATAGTTTTACATTTAAAAAAACAAATCATTTTAAAAAAGAAGATATTTTAGACGACTTTTTTCCTCGTCTTTAAAACGATACTAAATTATGTAACAATGAATTCACAGATTTCTTATGATATGACACAATAAAAAAGTCTAATTGAATACAAATTGTCGCTTATATTCCGCGTTATCGCCAATGACTGGCATTTGCATTCATTTCGCTCTCCATTTGTGTGGACCCATTCGTAACCCGGATTTTCTCTATAAATAATAGCAATTATTTATGCAAATCATTTCTCGTAAGTGAATTGTCCGGCAATTATTGGCTCCAAATTTTATTTTTCTCTTCAATACAAATGCCGTCAATTCCTGGAAATTAATTATAGGAATGCTTTTAAAATTGTGTATAATTTTCTCTCGCCTTTTCATTTGATGGATTGGTCTAAAAATATAACCAAATATTCCCCAGGAAATGGTTTTTGATAATTATTATTACGATTATATAATAAACACTGAATACAAGGAGAAAATCAAACCTTTTATTATCGCATCGTTTTTGTGCTAATTTTAAACACATTGTGACACTTTGTGATACCCTATATATGGATACAAATGTCGTGTAAATAATAATACCAATAATTTTGGATATTATTTACCTAATTCTCGCTTATTTTCCGCACATTTATTTCATTTGATAATACATTCGCTTAGATATACATTATTTTATACAGAAGTGATTTCGTTGTTAACGTTTATATAGAAAAATGTTACACTAGTTTGTAGTCAATACGGCTAACAAACTATAACAACAATAAGTTATTTTTATATTTAGTAATCGCTTGTCATATAAAGAATAATTGATTTTCAAAATAATATTAAAGAATTCAAATAATATAAGAAAATCATTAATAAAAATTAAAATTTGTCTCAAAGAAATATTAATCATCAGGCAATGAATAAAAATACGATCATGATTATAAAGTATAACGATTCCAGAATATGAATTCATACATGTATAATATGGTAACATTTAATAGTTATTGGAATTTAAAGAATATTTTATTTTCATCTAAAAAACATAATGGACTTCAATTGACTATCTTATTGAGAAAATGTAAATATATTATAGAATTCTGTTATAATATAAACAATATTCTCAATCATTTTATTCTTGATATGACTTCACTTATAACAGCCATACATAATAGTGGAGCTGTTATTAGTGACAACTTATTATCGGTTTAGTGATTGTGATTAGTGTCAGCTAACTTACATAGAGTAGTTGTTAGTGAGCCAATAGTTATTGTTAAATGTACTGTATATTACTGTATTAACCACTATTTAACACTCTTATAATTTGGGCATACATTGCATTGTTTTGTCTTTTAGATGGGTTTTCACACCCAATCCATACAACTATTATTTTGTCTGTTTTTCATTCAAATATTATTATTAAAGAAAAAACAATTTTTATATATTTTTTAAAATAAAGCGATGTTTTTGTTTGAATAAACGTAATAATAATAAATTTTTAAAATACATAGATTTTTGAACGGTTAATACATTCAGATATAATTTAATCACACATTTAATGAACGAATAATTTAAATCTTGTTAATTTGTTTTTATGTATTAATAAGAATATAATATATATTTTCATATAATATGGAATGCATTCATATTTTTCTTTCATTAATTGCTTTAAATTGAGTTTTAAATCGAAAAAAATATTAAATAATACAAAAAGCTTATCGAAAACTGATTCAGAATTAAAATCATTTCTAAATAAAGAAAATGATTGCAAAACAAAAACTTTAAGACTTTCTTAATCCAAAAATTAATGAAAGACTCAAACAATGTCTTTGAAAGACATTTAGCTATTAATTAGTTTTGTGCGAATTTAATCAAATCGTTAGGTTCTTGTGAACAGTCCTATCGAATCGACACAATTGTCCACTTAATGACTCGCATTGTTTACGAAAACAATTAACATATATTATCGTTATTTATATAAGAATTAATTTTTTATAACTAAATAAAATAATTTAATCAATAAATGGCATTCAATTTGTTTCGATGATATCTTTTTGAGTAAAAGTTAACATAATTTATGCATTAGTTTTCAGTTTTTTGATTAAATCCGCAATTTTATAGAAATCATATTAAATTATATTTAAGATAAAAATTAAAAAAATTTGTTTTGTTATAACATTTATATCTAAACGTTCATAATATTTATATATTGATCTCAACATAAATTATTTAATATTAATTAAATTTAAAACCATTTCTTATTATTAATCCTCGTTTTGCGTTCCTCTGACTGCCCCCTGATTTCGTTGCTATAAACAGAAAACCAAACATTATATTAGTGTTAATCCTTATAATAAATTGCGAAACATGTGTTATATATAAAGCTTCCATTTTTCGGGAGTAAAAACATCCAAATTCGGGAATAAAAAAGTCAAAATCGGGAAAATATGTTTTTATTCAATGTTAACACAATAATTATGCATTTAAAACATTTAGAAATGAATTATATTTGGAGATGACATGAAATTTGAGATTTTCTTCAGTTAATGAATGCCTTCTATGTTAAGAATAATCTTAAATTGAGAGAAAGAAAGCTTCACTTCGATGGCGATAATTAAGGCATATTTTGTAAGACATCTATATTTTGTAAGACATCTCCTCTTAATCTCCTCTGGATTACAAAATAAGTTTTGATATACAGTTATATTAGTTTTGATGAAATAGTTATTATAAAAATAGACTTTTCGGGAATTTCTCAAAATAAGCCAAAATCGGGAAAATAAAACTTATATATTTTTGGTCTATTATAACCCCTAAACCTAATGGTATATAATTGCCGGCGATTTTGTTAACTATTTGATTCGGGAATTCCCGAAAATTGGAAGCCTTAGTTCTATATAGAAATGTGTGCCAAACCTCATCCAACTCTCGTCTGGTTTGTTCTTCAATATTTCTGATGTCATTCATCGTTAATCCGTGCCATCGATCGATCCAACAGAACACTTGTCGGTGAAAATTTAAAAATATACGCCTTTCCGTCTAAGCAGTCAACGTTTATATCCATTAAAACCACATCAAAGTTTCAAATAACTCTTCGACAAACCTTTTGAATAAATGACTCGACTTTAGTCTGAAATCCAAACCATCGGAATTCAACGGTCACTAACTTATAGGCGCACATCACGGGCTCTACGGTCTCCTAAACACACATTTATATGTCTAATAAAACAATCTAAAAAAGAGGTGTCTGTGCGGACTCACGCGCCAATTCTTGTCAGTGAGAGGACCCCTTCCCGTCTTCTCCGACTTCATACGTGTCGGGTCTTCATCCGCTTTGTAATCCTTAACACAACAAACAAAATAAACGTTAAAATCAATATTAACTCTAAAGCCATTGGCGGACATACTTTGGTCAGAACAGTATCGTTGGCGATGTCTAAGTACATCACTTCTCTGGCCTTTAACTTCTCGGGTGACAATTGGTGCGCATTCTCTTGAGTTCCTCTATCGGGTGAATGCATTGTCTCGATTGTGATGCAGAAGTTTTGCTTCATATAATCCGGATTCTAATCATTGCAATAAAACAATTTAATAATTGTTTCGTAAGTGACGAACAATAAAACAAACAAATTGTTTTAATTAAAACAAATAACAATTAATAAATAAAATAAAATCAATGAAACAAATACAACAGAATAAACAGATCAATACTTACAGTGATAACAGTTTTACAATAAGGGTATGCATTCCAGGCCTCTTCGTGTATCTCGAGAGACCCTTTGGGGTAATTAAATTTAAAACCATTTCTTATTATTAATCCTCGTTTTGCGTTCCTCTGACTGCCCCCTGATTTCGTTGCTATAAACAGAAAACCAAACATTATATTAGTGTTAATCCTTATAATAAATTGCGAGACATGTGTTATATATAAAGCTTCCATTTTTCGGGAGTAAAAACATCCAAATTCGGGAATAAAAAGTCAAAATCGAGAAAATTGGGGAAATATGTTTTTATTCAATGTTAACACAATAATTATGCATTTAAAACATTTAGAAATGAATTCTATTTGGAGATGACATGAAATTCGAGATTTTCTTCAGTTAATGAATGCCTTCTATGTTAAGAATAATCTTAAATTGAGAGAAAGAAAGCTTGACTTTGATGGCGATAATTAAGGCATATTTTGTAAGACGTCTATATTTTGAACGACATCTCCTCTTAATCTCCTCTGGATTACAAAATAAGTTTTGATATACAGTTATATTTGTTTTGATGAAATAGTTATTATAAAAATAGACTTTTCGGGAATTTTCTCAAAAGAAGCCAAAATCGGGAAAATAAAACTTATATATTTTTGGTCTATTATAACCCCTAAACCTAATAATTCCCGGCGATTTTGTTAACTATTTGATTCGGGAATTCCCGAAAATTGGAAGCCTTAGTGATATATAGAAATGTGTGCCAAACCTCATCCAACTCTCGTTTGGTTTCTTCTTCAATATTTCTGATGTCATTCATCGTTAATCCGTGCCATCGATCGATCCAACAGAACACTTGTCGGTGAAAATTTAAAAATATACGCCTTTCCGTCTAATCAGTCAACGTTTATAGCGATTAAAACCACATCAAAGTTTCAAATAACTCTTCGACAAACCTTTTGAATAAATGACTCGACTTTAGTCTGGAATCCAAACCATCGGAATTCAACGGTCACTAACTTATAGGCGCACATCACGGGCTCTACGGTCTCCTAAACACACATTTATAAGTCTAATAAAACAGTCTAAAAAAGAGGTGTCTGTGCGGACTCACGCGCCAGTTCTTGTCAGTGAGAGGACCCCTTCCCGTCTTCTCCGACTTCATACGTGTCGGGTCTTCACCCGCTTTGTAATCCTTAACACAACAAACAAACGTTAAAATAAATATCAACTATAAAGCCATTGGCGGACATACTTTGGTCAGAACAGTATCGTTGGCGATGTCTAAGTACATCACTTCTCTGGCCTTTAACTTCTCGGGTGACAATTGGTGTGCATTCTCTTGAGTTCCTCTATCGGGCGAATGCATTGTCTCGATTGTGATGCAGAAGTTTTGCTTCATATAATCCGGATTCTAATCATTGGAAAAACAATTAAATAATTGTTTCGTAAGTGACGAACAATAAAACAAACATAAATTGTTTTAATTAAAACAAATAACAATTTTATTTATTTTATTTTAGTTACTTTGTTTATGTTGTCTTATTTGTCTAGTTATGAATGTCACTATTGTCAAAATGTTATTCCCATACGTAAGGTCCGGAGAAGCACATAGAGCTCTCTGGGAAACCCCGCCAGGAATTTGACCAGAGCTGGCACTTTGCTGTCATCGGCAAAATCATACCATTAAATTCATGTCATTGTATTTTTTAGGGTATATAAAGTTTCGTCAATTAATTCAATGACAAAGTGTTTAGCAAAATAGAGGAAAATAATCGTGTTTTCAATCATTTAGTCAATTGTTTTTTGCACACAAACGACAAAATAAATCAAAGTATTTAACATTTCATAGCATTCAGACAGACATTCAATACATATTCTCTAATTAATCCAATGCTAACGGAGTGATAGAGGGGTGAGAGGGAGGCGTAAAACGGAGGGGTAGTGTAATGTGGGGCGAGAGGGGGAGGGGTGTGTCATACCTGGCCAAGTGGTATATCTTTTTGGTGTACTGGCCTTTCGTGAATTTGCCGCCCAATAGGGGGTAGTTGTCGAAGGGCTCGTTCTTCAGCACTTCGACCCCCTCTCCACCTCCGGTCTCATTCTTGGACGCCTCGGCCACTGAATACAACTGTCCGATTTGGTACTGCAATAGATCATTCCCAATAGGGGGTAGTTGTCGAAGGGCTCGTTCTTCAGCACTTCGACCCCCTCTCCACCTCCGGTCTCATTCTTGGACGCCTCGGCCACTGAATACAACTGTCCGATTTGGTACTGCAATAGATCATGGTACATTAGGTACATTAGGCATCCATTTGGACACAACAACACATTTTATCATCCATTACTCACCTCTTCGACAGTAAGCGGAAGAATGACACGACTTATGGCAATAGAGTGAGAGAAAAGGCATTGAAAAGTGAGATATCATTAGAAAAATAGCAGCACTTTATTATCGATACTCTATTATAATGTATGTGTTTCTCACGAAACACCGGTTTTTCATCAATATTTTAACAATTATTAGTCTAATTATAAAATTAATAAATTTCAATAATACTCACAACTCTTTGATTAACATTTTTGGCTACAAATAAATAATTAATTAATTATTAGAGAGATATATAAATAGAGGGTTTTATCGGAGACTAAATCCAACAATGAGTTGATGTGTTGTGTAATTGAATGAATGGTTTTAAATAAATGAGTGAATTATTATTAAAAGTGGCGATAAATGTAATGCTTTTCTCCACACATAGAATAATAATAATAACGTTTAATAAAAGCCAAAAGATATCGTTATTGTATTGAATGATTAGTGCACTTATAGTACAGTACAGACTGTATGCACACTGTATTCACAATTCAAATGCAATGCTTGACAGTGAATGAGTGTATGGTTTGAGTCACTATTACAGCCAACACTGCATACAAATACATACAATACACACAAATACAGTGCACTAATGCTCTAACGCTGTACTACTGCTCGACACTCACTCTCACTCTCTGTCACTAGCGTTGAGTCGATTGCGTAAACTATCGCTCAATGCATGCGTGCCTTCAGTGCTTCAGTCGGACCACTGCTCGGGCTCTCAGACTTCACACACACTCACACTCTGCCACTCATTGACGCCCAGACACTGCACACTCACTCACTCTCCCAGTCGTTGAAATGCATTACATTTCATTAGCAAATCTTTTTGTACACTATTTGCCATTAACTGCCAATACTTGATAGCATTTAAATAATCGATACTTTTTATCATTAATTAGTTTTCTCTGTCCATATTAATATTTGAAATGCATTACATTTCATTAGCAAATCTTTTTGTACACTATTTGCCATTAACTGCCAATACTTGATAGCATTTAAATAATCGATACTTTTTATCATTAATTAGTTTTCTCTGTCCATATTAATAGACTTTTTTGCTGCACTTTCTTACATCTGTATGTCTTAAATGTTTGTATCGATGCATACATGCATTGGTAGGCAATTTTGTGATGTAATTAAATATAATTAATTTCTTTTATTTAATAAAAGTTTAATTGATTGCTAGAATTAAATGGCAATTCAATGAAAACTATGTTTTCTATGTAAAAAGTGAAACAACATAACTTTTGAAAAGAATACGATTAGTGATTAACTTTCCTTGGTTTCCAAATTGTCGCTTCGGTAAGAAACGCGTCCTGAAGTCCCGAATTTTTTAAGTTAAAGGCTAAGTAAACGAGAGTTTTTTGTGATCGAAAAGCATATATTGAGATGATTTTCGCACATATCTATGACATTACCTCCATATCTATTGTTACCTTAAATTATAAGTTTCGAAAATAGGCCACAATTCGCATCCAATTAGTGCTTTGGGTTTATATTTTTTCGTGCGATAAGAAATTAGACTTTTATATTAGATTATAAATGCATTTATTTATGCCTTTATAAATATGATATGATTTTATTATCAACTATTGTTTGATAAGATCTCCAAATTAAATACTAAACTAATTTTATTATAACTTATAAGTTATATTTACTTTTTAATTAATATTAATGTTTATAAATAAAATATCTTTAGAAGAAAAGTCTTCAGAGAAGTTTTCAAATGCTTTCCTAACATTTACTCAAAAATAAAAGTTTTTGCATATTATTTGCTATTTTAATCATTTGAAATTCAAATTTTGAATAAAAAAATGTGATGACATTTAAGCCACTATTGCCTCATATTGTTTACGAGAAAACTTCTTCTGATTAATTCAAGGATGAGTTTAATATAAATTAAGTAATGAATTATTTAATATGTAATTCGATTAATAATTTGTATTTATATACAGAAAATAAGTTAAATTTAATTTAAAATAAAACTTTTACAATAAAACTTGTTATAAATGAATATATTTTCTGCTTTACTTTTCATGAAGTTTTTATTGCATTTATTGTTTGCATTGATTTGTAACTCATATTAAACTGTTAAATTTAATTTAAAATAAAACTTTTACAATAAAACTTGTTATAAATGAATATATTTTCTGCTTTACTTTTCATGAAGTTTTTATTGCATTTATTGTTTGCATTGATTTGTAACTCATATTAAACGGCAATGATTAACAGATTGTTAATCAATACATGAATCAACCCATTCAGTCATCTTGTAATGGTTTTATCCATATTTTTTGGACAATTTCAGAACAATTGATTTAATGGTTGACTAATTGGAAACAATTAAAGAGCATTTCTTGGAAATGGTGTTGGATTTGGATCTGTTTGTGAAGGCAAAGGCAAATGTTAGGAACCGTTTCGCAGACACTCAGAGTGTGGATCAAGTGATTGATTTTGTTAACAACTGGCGTAAGACTCGTTACAATTTGGATCAATTCAATAAGAAGAAGAATATCTCTAAAGAGTACGGAAATGGTATGAAATGAGTGAGAAATGCGACAGAAAAGCAATATTTAGTCATAGATTTGAAAAACTTTTAATTGCCGTAAAATGTATTAATAAATAAGATTTAAATAAATGACAATTAATTGAATAACTTTAAGATACAGTAAACTCGCTTCTGAT